ATTAAAGCTCTGCTGTCTACTCCTGCCCCTTTAAATGTCTGTATGATCCAATGACTCCCTTTAAAAATCCATAGAGAGTCAGACAAATCCGATAGAGTCCTCAAGGAACGGTGTGAACACACAGCTGTTGGGGGAACCTGGCCAGTCTGCTCTGTTCTCAGCGTGTTGCATGCAGACACGCCACTCTCTGCTGTGTTCATTGATGATTATGTTAAATGCCACAGTCCTACGGATGGAAGGATCTGCTCAGCCACCACTAGCCTGTTCATTATTTATATAGAATTAAAGAGCACAGCTCAATTGAATGCAAACATCTGAGAAAAGTCATTATTCATGTACAGATCAAATTGAACATTTGTCATTTCTCCAGTGATTTAACATACTCTTTGTGCCTTGGGACCTCAAATTATATTAAGCAGAGTAGATGCTTTAACTCTTTTTAGTTTAATTGTTGGCCTTCATCCACTTGTTCAGATTACTTGGACTTGTTTGAAATTAGCTCTTGCTTCCCCTTAATATGTAAAATAGAAAAGGAAGAAAATTTCTTTTTAGGACCTATTGCATTCTAAGGATGAATGCAAATTGCTCTACTATGATTCTTAATGAGCCACTATTAACATAGTAGGAACCCCAGTACATTAATGCAATACCTCTTTTCACATCATTACTCCTAATGGAACTGTTACCAGGATAATAGCTTGACCTTTAGCTATAGAATCAGATAGCAAAAATGTATTCTGCTTACTCGATACTGTTATTCACATAGCATATTGAGCGATTTCAGGTCAATACAATCACAATATTTTGGCCTAAGGCCTCATCTGCACTTGCAACAGAAAAGGATTTCGTCTCCGGCAGATAGGTCCTAGTTAAAAGTCGCTTTTAAGTATGAATGTAACCCAAGAAATAGGATGTCGGTAATAGGCCCAGTGGAAATATTTGTTGTGCAGGTGCTTTTCAAGAAGCCTGTGCTGTGCCTTCAGTGATCTCAGACACAGACACAGGAGGCAGAGACTTCCTGGTTGTTGTTTTTTATTGAAACTGGATGGGTTTTAACTGAAAAGAGAAAAAACAACCAGAAATGGTTGCCTTTCTAGGAGTGACAGAATACCTGAGCTCAAGATTAGATTGAAAAGATCTATTGGAAGCTCCTCACAGCATGGGAGAAGCATTCCAGGCTTCCCTCTGGTCCTCCTAAACCCGGTTGTTGACACACGTAGTGGCTGGGAGTCGTTTTGATGTGGGCATAACCCAAATCTACTTTGTTCATTTGGAGCCACTACTTCCTAATGGGTGCTAATTTGGACACCTGCATTTCACAATCTAAGGAAAGAGGGGTTGCTATGGAAATTAATTATATAAATGATATTACAAGGGGGGAGATGTTTATCCGCTAAGACAATGTATTCAGTTCTTTCGGTGCTACACACTTTCATATAAACGAATAGGGTGCTAAATACAAATCAAATGTATATTGCGTTCTTAGTCAGTACAAAGTACTGTTGTAGGTGCTTTGGGGGTCCAAACTCAATGAAGACCCTGAGGTGTCTATAACCCGGTGTCGGAGATTCAAAAGCAAACCCCACCCCCGAGGTATTGTTCCTTCTGTGTATCTCCCATCCCACATATCATATACCGGGCAGCCTGGGTGATATTTTCCCTGGTCCTTATTCTTCTTCCTAACCATCACTCCTCCTCTACTCAGTTGGGCTGGGCTGGGTCCTTTCCTCTAAGGTTCTTACCACAGCTACATATCTTCCTCGCACTCCCCGTCGCCCTGCCATCTTCCATAACTTCACTGTTCACGTGAAAGGTCCATCTGACCCCCCAGCCAGTAGCATCCAGACCTCATCCACAGTGACGTTCACCTCTACTACATTCACCTCTACTACGTTTCAGCCCCACCCGTGAGCACACCTTAGCATCCTCATCCGGAACTGCTCGCTGCCCCACTTACACTCCAGCACCGTACTCCCAATTGCCCTTACTCCACGCCACCTCCTTGCCAACCCTGTTGATAATTCCATTCCATGGTCTCTATAGATTTTTCTAAGTCTGTGAGCCTTTTTCTGGCTTCGCTTCTTCCCCATATTTGCGCAGGAAGGGGAAGTGAGGAAAGTTGAGGTCATTCATTCCAGGTGGCAGCACATCTTCAAGTGCTTTGTATCCCTGTCCTTCTGCCAAGACTATCCAGCTAGGCTCTCACCCAAGAGCAGCCTTACCATCCAGTGGCTCCGCTCCCAAGGAGGAGCTGCAAAGTGCCCTGGGGAAAAACAGCCTGCCCCTACAGGTTGTTGCCAGCACCACAGGCCTGATTGGTGCCCTCCATCGTCAGTCTGCTGCTTTCCTACTTCTGTTCTTCTCAAAGGCAATCCCAGACTTTCCCCACACTCTCCATTCCCCTCACCGTACATGCAAGGAGGTCTGGGAGGGATTACTCCAGCCTGTAACCACTTCTCAACCTGCCTGTCTTCCCTTCCTCTGGGGGCAGAGGAAGAAGCCCCTCCTGTTCGAGGGCGACCCTCCATTTCTAGCCTGACCCGTCCCCTTTTATTGTCCCCTTTTCCCTGGATCCCGTCTTCCCACACAACATTGCTGTTTCCGTCAGCCTGCAGACATGCTCAGGTTTCCTGGCCTCAGCCCTCCTCCCCTGGCAGCCCTTCTTCTCTTCCTTTCTCCACTGAACCCCGTTTTTTGAGTGTCCTCTGTGGCCACCCCACCACTCCTTGATGACCTTCAGTGGACACTTTCCAAACCTCCCTTCCTGGCCCTTCCTCCGCACTTACACTGTGGGTCCTCCTCTGTCAGCACCACCCGCTGGCTTTCCAGGACCCCTCCTGGGTCTCCAGACTCCGGCCCATCCTGGGTTCCCTCATGGACTCCTGCGCCTTCATCTCCAGTCAACCATCGGGGTTCTCGCTGGCTCTGTGCTTGGCCCAGCGCTCTGTTCACTCCACAGGCTCTCCCTGGTCGGTCAATGTTTTTTCTCTCATTTTAACTACCACTGGATGTTTGTGCCTGTCAAACTGGTACAGCCTGGACCCTTCCCCGAACTGTAGGCTTCTGTGTAGGGAGGGTACCCAAACTCAACATGTCCCAAACCAAGCCTAATACATCTGCCTCTGCCCTCACAAACCTCCCTTTCTTCTATAGTTCCCAGGCCATGTGATTGAGCAGAAATGCCTGTTCTATATACAGTTCTGGTCACCTGTCCACCTTTACTCACGTGGCCCCAACTCAGACGCTGCAGTAGCTTCCTCAAAGGGACCCTCCTCTCACTCCCAGATCCATCCTCCCGCTGCCACCCAGCTCCTCCCGCATGACTGGGTGTGGATTTTTTCCTTCTTTCAAATTATTTTCTTAGGATAAATTTCTAGGAGTAAGATTTCCAATGCAAAGTTGTGACAGTTTTATGCCTCTCATTATATACTACCATCTTATTTCCCAAAAGGGTTTTGCCAAGCTTATGCCAACAGTGATGTTTGAATATGCCAGGCCCCCACAATTGTATCAATATTAAGTATTAGCTTTTTAACATTGCTCTTCTCATTTAGTAGGTATAAAATGTGTTTTGCAATTTGGGGGCTTACATATTTGTTAAACATTTTTCCTAATGTTTTTTTCTAAATACACTGTTCGTTATCTATAGAGTCTTTTGAAATTGCTCTTTTATTTGAGTGAGTGCTTTATATAGTGGTAGATATTGAACCTTTTCAGTCACATGTAGTGCAATTAGCTTTTCTCATTCTAATATAATGTTTATTTTCTATTCAATAGAAATTTTATAGTTTTACAGAGTAGTTGAATCTATCAACATTTTCCTTTGTCATTTCTTTTTAAAAGAAGCCTTTAAAACATTAAAATGACCAACATTTTAAATATGTATTTATTGATTTCAGAGAGGAAGGGAGAGGGAGAGAGATAGAAGCATCAATAATGAGAGAGAATCATTGATCCGCTGCCTTCTGCATGCCCAACACTGAGGATTGAGCCCGCAAGCCAGGCACATGCCCCGACCAGGAATCAAATGGTGACCTCCTAGTTCACAGGTCAACCATTGAGCCATGCCAGCCGGGCCAGATATCTTAAATACCAAGCGGGCAGTGTGCTGTGAGTGCATACTTGGTCGTGACCTACAGAGAGGAGAGCACGTTGGGAAGCGCTCAGGAATGACATGCGGAGCAGCAGCGTTCACGCCAGCTCCTGCCTGTGCAGTCACACACTGGGCAGGTTAAGATAATGTCTGGCCTCCCTTTCGTCCTGTCCTATGACTCCATAGTTTCTTTTGTGCTTAATAGATAGCTCTTTCCTAGAAGCCAGTAGAATATTGCAAGAGTTGCCTCAATATAGAATTGGAACTTTCATTAAGAGACAACTGCATTCCGCCAGCCGGTGTTGCTCAGTAGGTTGAGCGTCTGCCCTTGTGCCAGGAGGTCACAGGCTCGATTCCCCATTATTGATGTTCCTCTCTCATTGGTGTTTCTGTCTCTCTCTACCTCTCCCTCATCTCTCTGAAATCAATACAAACATATTAAAAAGAAACAATTGCATTCTATTTATTCTGAGAACTGATTGAGTTAGTAGGAATAACCATGAGAACATCATCTTTTTTGTGTAATTTTGCATAAGATTTTGAATTAATTAAAAAGTGAAATATTTTAATACAGTTGTTGAATTTTGTCATGGGGCCAGAGGATCCATAGGAAGCATTTTCTCTGCTCATAAGACATATATACAGGGACATGGAGCACTTTCCATAAAAACTACTCACTATGCAGAGCTGGTTTCATGTTGAAGTCCAGTACATTTTATAGCATCAGGGCCCTGCCAGGCTCCACCCCCACCACAGGGATGTCATATGGATCGTGAAGCTATCTAGTGCAGTACCCATGTCTTTTAGCATATATATATATGTTTTTTCTCCTTGGGATATATTTCTGTTTCGGATCTGCCTGTTTTATTTGTTGAAGCATTTAACAATATTTCACATTTTCTTTCAGTCTTCACAGAAAAGTACTGTACTGCTAATCATGTGGATAAGCTGCCTGGCCCGAGAGACTGGGTGCAGATTCTACAGGATCAGATTAAACTGGCCAGAAGAAGGTTAAAAAGAGGCTCAGGTATGAATGCGCTGCAGGAAAATAATTGCAGAAGCCCTTTATTGAATTCCCAGGCATTGCACAGTGCCAGCTTTGCTCTCGGGTGCTCCGCCGTCTCTTGTCTTTTGAAGGAGATGCGCTACATAAACGTGCTATGAGTTTTGTTTTTTAAAGTCTATTCAAATGAGTTTTGAAACTCACCTGAAGATTAAATAGTGAAAATATGTCAGGCCATTCACTTTGAATAGTACAAAGGAAAAAGATTGCTAACCTCATCTGTGGGCTTACATTCTTATGGAGGAAAGTGGGTCTCTGTTGTGATTTGCTTCCATTGCCCATTGATTTTTGTTTGTTTGAATCTGCCTAACTTGATAAAATGTACTATTTGTTTAAGGTAAAAAAATAACAGTAATCATTCCACCTGGAACACTACATGAAATAGAGATTTTAAGTCAAATATTTATTTATTTAAACATTTTTTTAAATCTGGGCTTGGTGATTCTGGAATTTCTTCCAGGAAAAGTGAACACAAGTTGAATTATGACTATTCAGTCATTTGAAGTCTCAACCTCCCCATTGACAGTCGGCCAGGTTAGCAGTGAAGAGTCCCTCTGAGGTCAGTTTTCTGCTATCACGTAAAAATAATCATCTCAGGAGGTCGCAAACCTCTCTCTCTCTGTATTTTTTTAATCCTGATCAAACTTCAGTGTCTGCCCTGCTCAGAGCCACCTGTGCTCTGGGGCTCGAGTGTGAGAGTCTGGGAGACAGACCTGAGGTGCTGACATGTTACAGGCTTGGGTGGCATGGGATCCAGGAGAAAGCAGTACAGTGCATGAGGCTGTGTCGCTAACCGACCCTGAAGTATGTGAATTCACAGTGAGCGGTAGTCACTGTGACCTGCCGGTGGAGCACAGCTGACGGCCTCGGGAGAGCTCCTGGCACAGGCTGGGGAGACCCTGGCAGTGTCACGAGACACATGGGCACCAAGGGACCCAGTGGTTTTCAGTGTGAAAACCTTACAGCTCTTTTCTCTGAAAGTCGCTACTAGGACTCTAAAATGTTCAGCTGTAGGGTCACCTATGTAAGCTCTACCTGAGCATCCCCTGACCTGCCTATGATAGAGTTAGATCAGCAATTTACAAAGCTCTAGGTCCCAAGGTCATGTCTGACAGAAAATATGTAGCTTTGGATGACTTTTTTATTAAAAATCTCCCCATCATCTTTTTCTTTTATATTTAATTGATGCTCTTTTTATAAAGAGCAATAGACTACTAGGTGTTTTTTTTTTCTCTGTGCCATTGAGTGACAGCTACCACTGGCACAGTCCCAGGGAAAAGATGCACTCAAGGGTTTTCTTTCAGCACCAGCTACCAAATCCTGGCCCCACTGCCTGGGGAGGACCTGTAAAAGTGCTATGACTACTAATATTTTTAATTGGTAAAATATGTATTATCATATCAGGTAATAAGTCATAATGGGAGAAGATTTGGTTTCGAGTGTTACTGCTCTTTACCAGCTCTGGGCCTTGGGCACGTCACCCCATCTTTCTAATCCTCAGTGTCCCTCTCATGAGGTGGACATAAAAATAAAGCCTGCCTCAGAGTTGGGAGGCTCAGACACATGTTGTACATGAATGTCTTTACAAAGGAAGCTAGTGTATCTTCTCTGAGATTGTCTGCGTCATACACGGCAGTGCCTGGAAGCGGTGGAGGTCGCTGAGGAAGTCGTAACCCGTGGCCCCTCGCATCCCAGGTGGGGACCAGCAGCCTGCCGTGCCTGAGCAGCGTTGCTTTACCACTGCTGTCCCAGCGTAATTATTAATTAAGCCCCTTTCACTCAAAGGTTCCAGACTTGGATAAATGATCTGGTCATCCTCCCTGGTCTCTCAGTGTTCCCTGCCTTCTTCTCCTTCATTACAACTCATCACAGAGCATGGTAGAGTGGGAAGAACCGGTCTGAACTCCTAGCTCTGAGCTGCCATTTACAAATTCCTGGGACTTTTGGACAAATTTTTCAACCTCTAGCAGCCCTGCATTCTTCATTTATATAACAAGGCTAATAGCTACCTCAGGGGTGTTTTCAGAGATAGAATTAGACAATGTAAGTATTGCCAGTAACAGAGAACTGACACATAATGACACAAAAAATGCTCGTGACCTTATCTTCCTTCCCATTGCCAACCAAAAGCAAAACAACTCCTTTATCCTGGCCATTTCTTAAAACCACTACCTTCTCTTTCTCCTTGCATTGTTGGTCAGAATTCTTCCAAATAGATTTGCATCCCTGAGTGGGCTCCCCCATCCCAGTTCACTTTAGAATCCATTGCACTTTGCCCTCTGACCTCGTCTTCTACGTGAGCTCTTGCTGCATTCACATCCCAGTGACCAGATTTCACTCTCTTCATGTTAACACTCCGACAACCTCCATGTTGATTTTTACTCTGTGGAACCTCATCCTTCTTGAAGCTCTCTTCCCTTGGATTCTATGACTTCATTCTCTTTGTTTCTCCTCCACATTTTTTGGCAATGCCTTCGGTCTCCTTCACTGCCTCTCCTTCACCCGTCTCCTAAAGCCAGCATTCCCAAGTTTCTGTCCTTCTTACTTTTCCCATTCTAAATCCCCACTCCTGACTTGAACTGTTCCGTCATCAGTGGCTCTCAGGTGAGCAGCCCCAGACATGGCCATGGCCCGAGACCCTAGACTTCATTCTCTGCCTCAGCTAATGAAATCTGGTCTTACCTGCCCCAACTAAATACTTCTCCTAGTTTCCTGTCCCCCGGAATAAAATCCCCTTCTACATACCACCCCCTGCCCTCAGTGTGGCAGACAAGGCTCTTCATAGTCAGCCCCAACCCCCTCACCAGCCTCATCTGCAGACTCTTCCTATTCTGAAATACGCTAGGTTTTCCAACTCACGCTTTCCCTCTGCCTGTCATAGCATCAGGTTCTTCCTCCTGGAGCCTTCATAGGCAGTGCAGCACTTTTGTCTTCTGCCACCGGAGGAGTCACCCACCTGTTTGTTCCAGTGACCATGAGAGCCTCAGGAGCACAGATGGCTCTGAGTCATGTTTCTGTTCCAAACATTGTGTGGCACAGCGTGGAACCAGCAAATGAACCAGCAAATCAATCAGTGGAAAAGAAGGAAAAATAGTCCACAGCAAAAAGTCTTACTGTTTAGCTCATCTAGTTCCTGTGAGAACCTGGAGAATGTTCTTTCATCAGTTTCTTCCTTAAGGTTCAAATACTTACCCCGAAACCCACAGGGCAGCACCGTCCCTGAGCTCTGTTCTCCGGAACAAGATCCTTAGGGCCCCTTAGGGTATGCCTGGGGCTGCTCACATGGTTGTCCCAGAGTGCCCTTTCTTCCTCCTCCCCGAGCCCTTTCTCTTATTTCCTTCTCTGCACCCCCATCTTCGTAGTTCCCTCCTAATTTCCTCTCTTCTCCTTTCCTCCCCCAAAGGTTGAGTCTTGTGTCATGGTGCCTGACCTCACTCAGGGGAGGTTAACTGAGTAACACTATATTCACTGCTGTCATCAGGGTCTCATGCTTTCTTATGCTAAAGGCCTCCAGCCTCAGCCTTGGCCATCTCACAAAGCCTCTTGTATTACTTTATTTTTTTTTAATATTTTTATTGATCTCAGAGAGAGGAAGGGTGAGGGAGCGATAGAAGCATTGATGAGAGAGAAACATCAATCAGCTGACTCCCGCATGCTCCCCACTGGGAATTGAGCCTGCAACCCAGGCATGTGCCCCATTTGGGAATCAAACTGTGACCTTCTGCTTCATAGGTCGGTGCTCAATCACTAAGCCACACCAGCCAGGCTCTTTGTATTACTTTAGCCCCTTTAGATTTCAGGCTCCAGGAAAGGATTGGGGTGAAAAAAAATGTTTTACAGTAAATGACAAGTGTTATCAAAGATAATTGCTCAATCATTTTACACAGTAAGTAATGCTTAAGCACTAATATCATATTGAGTGCTGTGTCTCTTCTGTTTTATATCCCAAATCAGATTTCAAGTATGTAGCCTGAGCGGTGTGGTTGCTAGTATTAAGTTGGTCTTGTGTTGCCTAAATCCTGCCTTGGCAATCTTGACTGTTGGGTATGTAAGAACTTCCATTTGTCTATTGATTTACAGGGGATAATTGTTGATCCCCCTAAAAGGGACACTAACTTTAATATTCAGGTTTGAGAGAGATCTAAAGGTTTCATAGTGAAGAGACTTAAATTTAATACTCAGCCCAAAGGAAAGACAAAGGGCCGAAGTAGCAAGAACCAGCTACCCTTTGGTTCTCCACACACCACCCCAACTGTGCCACCAGCTTCTAGTCTGAGGTGGGCTAGCACACTCCTCCCCTCAGAATCCACAGAAGCATGCCGGTCCCTTCTTGTCTCACATGGGCTGGTAGGGTAAATGGAAAATGGGAGAAATGCTTGGAGCTCCTTGGGGGCTTGAGGGACAAGAACTGTAAGTCCAGAATGCTGATGTTACTAACCTGGGTGCTGCAGAGGAACCCAGAGAGAGGAAGGAGAGGGCTTTGTGGACAAAACATGTGCCCATGGCTGGAGGTGATTACAAGTCCCTGAAGGACCTGAAACTTTGAAGACAAATGGTGGGGAGACTGTTGAGTGTCTACTGAGTGTATTGGAGAGGCCTCATCTCAGAGACACAGAAACTGCCTTCCTGGCAGTGGGCCACGTGACTGAAATAGGAAGATCCTTTTAAATTCTGTTTCCCATACTATATATTTTATACATAAACACACCTTTTTTTCCTATTTCAGATGCTAAGACAAATTATTATGAGTTCTGGTCTCTATTCCCTTCCCCGCTTCCCCCCAACAAACACACATGCACACGGTAGGGACTTTTTTCCCCATTCCTGTTTCTCTGTCCCACAAACAGACTGACCAGTGAACACATTTCTCAACCACATGACACAGGCTCATTTCCACACGCCCATGCCTGCTTCTACAGAATGGGTCCCAAACCGTAGACTGCTCCCAGCCCTTCCCTTCCGGGGGAGCCTTGCACGTGCCCAGAACATTGTGTGGCCTGCTCCATAGTTCTCATCATATTTGATTTTGGACATTTTCACTTTGACCAGTAGGTTTAGATTATCTGCCTAAATATTGGGGATCAGCACCTTGGCACTTTTCTGCCCCTCTAGCAGGTTCTGTTAGCATCCAAAAAGTGGAAGGTGCCACCTGGCTGGGTGGCTCAGTTGGTTGGAGCATCATCCTGTTCACCTAAAGATTGCCGGTTTGATTCCTAGTCAGGGCACATACCCAGATTTCAAGTTCAATCCCTGATCGGGGTGTATGGGAGGCAACCAACTGATGTTTGTCTCCTCCTCCTCTCTTTCTCTCTCCCTTCCTCTCTCTCTAAAATCAATTTAAAAAAAAAAAAAAAAGCATATCCTCAGGTGAGGATTTTTAAAAAAAACGTGCAAGGTGTCTACAGAATCCAACCCTGCCACACAGACCAGACCAGCACATCAGCAGTGACCTGCCAAATAGGTTTTGTCTCCCCATTTTTTCACATCCTGTGACACTTCATTCTCCTCAAGCAGCACAAAAGTGGGACCCCAGCAAATTGGAACTAGAGCCATTGTCATGCTGATAGGAACTAAGAGGCTTCTCAAAAATATTACTTGCTCTCCTGCTTTTTGTCTTCATTATTTTTGGTCCAAATGATAATCCAAACAGTGTCTCATAGATATTCCACAATTTTAACCTTTTTTTTAAAATCATATTTGGCTCAATTCCTGGAATTAGATACAGACTCCACCTGGGCAAGCTAATCAGCTCACTGTTTAAGAAAGCTTGCACTGCCCTAGCCAGTGTTCTCAGTGGTTAGACCATCAGCCGGCACAGAAAAGGGTCGGGTTCAATTTCTGGTCAAGGGCACGTACCTGGGTTGCAGGTTCCATCCTCAGCCTTGATCAGGGAGCATGAGAGAGGCAACCAATGTCTCTCCCACATCGGTATTTCTCTCTCTCTCTCTTTTTCCCCTTCTTCCTCCCTCCCTTCCACTCACTCTAAAAATCAATGGAAAAAATATCCTTGGGTGGGGCTTAACAACAACAAAAAAAGAGGAAGAAGGCTCGAACTGCCTCTTGAAAAAGTGCCCCATGCAGATCTGAAGGGTTGTTATATGAATCCAAACAGAAATTCATTTGGGGCTCTCATCACATGTAATAATTTTTTTCTATAACTGGAATGATTCCTTTCCTGGTGTGGTTTTTTATCATTTTCATTAGATTATTTCCTCTGAGCTGAAATTGCAATTTTGTGTGTGTGTTAGCTCTACAAGTAAAACTGTCACTGCTATTAAATTTTTATTGGACTTTCTCAATCTTTTCCAAATTTTACAATTTGTCACCAGGAAAGAAAGATGGTGAGGTCATTGTTATTGACAGATATTATAATTAAATTTGAGTAACATAGTCATGTTCTTCCTCCATGACCCTGTGCCCTGTTCATGCAGCTGGTATATACCAACTTATACATGTTTTTGTTTACATATATTGTTCTTACTAAAGCACATAATTGCATAGGCCTGCTTTTTAAAAGTGAGGATAACTTAATTGCAAAAGGAAGATCAGCTTATACCTAGAACTGATTTTTGTTATAACTAAATGAAAAGAAATTGAAATGGAAAGAGGAGAAAGTTACTCAAGTATAAAATGAACTGAAACTTGAAGATTTAAAAATTAGCTCATAGTCATATATGTGATATATATTTGGATGATTAATAGCAAAGAGATTAAGAGTCCAAGCATAAACCTGAGTCAAGTCCTTGGCAGTGTCACTTACTAGCTATGTCACCTTAGGTACATTTCTTGACCTCTCTGTCTCAGTGTCCTCATTTGTTAAAGTAGACATAATAACAGACCTGCCTTGAGGGGTTTTTCTAAGGGTTAGATGACTCAGTGTATGTCAAGTGCTCAGTAAATGGAAAGCATCTAATAAATGATGGTGGCTAGCATTGCTATTATTATTATTGCTGGAGAATCTTTTAAATCTTAGACAATGAGTCCAGCCAGTGTTGCTCAATGGTTGAGCGTCGACCTATGAACCAGGAGGTCAGAGTTCAATTCCTGGTCAGGGCGTGTAGAAGCCGGCTAATCAATGACTCTCTTTCATCATTGATGTTTCTATCTTTCTCCCTCTCCCTCTTCCTTTCTGAAATCAATAAAAATATACTTTATAAAAAATTTTTAGTCCTAGACAATGAAAGAATTATCATGTAGTTCATCTATCAAATCCAATCAAACTAATTAGAAGAAAATAATATCTTCTAAATATAAAAATAACATGTTTGTTATTTATTTTTTAAAAATACAGAATAATTGTAAAAACCCAAAGAACAAAATTTTAAATACTTATAAGCCTTTCATTCAGAGAAACACTACTAATATTTTAATTCGTCCTGTATTTTATCTATAAATCTATATACAAAATTTTATTCTCACCATTTGTCTTATTGCTTGACTTGAATGTTTTTGTTGTTAAATATTCATCTACAACATAATTTTTAGGGGTTTCTACTCTTTTCCAAACAAAATTGGTCTTGACTGGTCTTTCTCTTCTCAGCGTTTTCTCTTTGTGGTGGTTTGGCGGGTCAGCAGACAGTGGGTCACTGAGTCAGTGTGTCCCAGTCAGAGGACAATATGGGAGAGAGCGGATTAGAGTGGGAATCTTTGAGCCCTGATTGTGTTTTAAAGCAACAGCAACAAAACACAAGAACATAGGACTAGCTTGCTTCCCAACTGAGCACTACAAGGTGATACAAATGCAGCCCTCATTTGACTAGCCTCACATGCACACAGGCAGGGAACTTCCCACGGGGCCACTAGCCCTGGGACAGGGAGCACTGCTGAAGTTATGCAGATGGCCATGATGAAATGTTTTGACCTGTCCTGTAGCATGCTGGGGAGACAGAGCACTGCTGAAGTTATGCAGATGGCCATGATGAAATCCCCTGTCCTGTAGCATGCTGGGGAGACGGACAAGCCCATCAGTTCTCAGGAGACATATGGGCACCTGTATTTATGTTTAGTGGAAGGTTTTCTGTGACTGAAGGATCTACCTTTGGAAAATTCATAAGGAGATTGAAACATATCAGAGATGAGCAAAGGTTTGCATTTTAAAACAGAAGTGATGGCTCTTTTAAAGAAGTGCTTATTCCTTCTGATTTTCTTTATGACTGAATTGATGCCAACTTAGATTGCCAGCTCCGGGATCTGAATTTCCAGTAATCTCCAAAGAAAGAGTCATTCTCAAGATTTCCTAAGCCCGCCCCACAGGAATGGTTCTGGAAATGACAAGCAAAAATCTACCACAAGAATTCACTAACCGCATGCATCATATTTCAACAATTCACCCCCAAATCTGGATGGATATTTAAGCCAATGTAAATAAGCGAAAAGCACTGAAATCATCAATGATCGATAGAATAAGCTTCATAAGCTATAAAAAATACTTAATACAGGAAAATTGATTTTATTTTATCTTTAAAATATTTTATTTAAATATTGGCACTAAAATCCATGATGTGAACTGGCTGGAGCTGAAAAGGGAAAAGAAAGGTGAAAACTCCTATGTATAATAGAGATTTAAAATTGTGTGACTGTATTGGTGAAATGGATGTGCTCCCTGAAACTAATGAGATTTGTGTTTTATGTTTGTAACCAGCAGAGGTAGCTGACGGTGATGAAAGACTGGACAGCATCTCTCTACCACCAACAGGTAAAACACATTTACATTTTCATCACCCACTGGAAAATACAGCAAAGGAAAATATATGCATTGAAAATGTTTTTAACATTAGAGATGCAGGTGCTTGAGCAGAATGCTTCTGTAACAGACCCAGACGACAATCAGAGGTGTGCAGTGCCCTGTGGTCAGACATATTTGTCACAGTGAATATGAAAAGCTACATTTTTCTCACAGTTCTATATTCTTAAAAACCTCAGAACAGCAAGTCCTAAGAAATTAGTGTCACAAGATTTTGCCTCCCAAAACCTTTGGACATTAAAACATATTTTAACATGATATGATATTTCTTTTTAGAACAGGGATCACCAGTTTTAAGATGAAATTCATGTCCGTCCTGTCCTCTCCCACCTGCTCCAAAGGGCTTTGAGCAGCAGGCAGTCACAACTCTTCACACACTGGGCACCTAGTGAATGCTGTGTTTTAACTGAGTGACTGAATACTCCAGTGCATCTGGCATGGGTGGCACATTACCAATGTTGTAACCAGATCGCCCCAATGCAACATTTCCCTGAAGCGTCTGCTACAATATCAAGCCATAGACATAATTCTGACCACATTATTTAGCTCTCAAGTGATATCCTTCTGCCCTGGCCTCCTGCCCCTGCATCAGTTAATCTCTGAGAGCCAGAGGGACAGGTGTCTAATCCACAAGCCATGTGGCAAACAATGTATTCCTCAGTTGGCCTCATGACTCTATTGACTGCCCTCAAAAGAATACATGAAGATTTTTCTGCCCACAAAACCCAGATGCCCAAAAAAATCCTCTTAAGTGAAAAAGCTCAATGCAGTGTTTTCTTCTCTAGATGTGGGCTGGTAAGTTTAAATAGAAATCAGCAAATGTGAATGGAGTAGCTAGTCTGTGTAAGCACTCTACTAGGTCATGTGTTCATTGATAGCACTTACCCTGAGATGACAACCAAGAGTTCACAGGTGTAGGACAGACATATGTCAGAGAACACTGGAGCAGCGAGAAAGCTCAACCAGGTAAATAATACAGTGCTTTCTGCCATTGAGTAGCTAAGCAACAGGTCAATGGGCAAATAAAAAAGGACCTTCTTATATCAAGTTTTACCATGTAATCATTACATAAAAGGGATTTCTCTTCTTGTTTGGCTATGTTTCCACATTTATGAATTAAGAGAATTGAAATGCATGATCTCTACTGTTCCTTCCCATCTGTCCTCCGAATATCAGAACAACTCAGAATAGCCGTGTGCTTGTCACCCCTGGCCCATCCCAGTAGACTCACCAAGTGCAGCTAAGAATAATGAAACTGTGCAGTTCAGGAAGCCCCTTGGAGGAATACCATGCTGCTCTGGTTGTGCTGTCCAGGTTCCTCCCTCTCCAGCCCACTGCCCCAGGGCATTTGCACTGCCCATCCTCACTGTCATCTGACACAATGGGCTTTTAAAAATTACTATTACTTGAAAACCATTCCCTTTGTGTTTCCATACCTGAAGATGGAGGCAGAGAGATGTTTCAGATGAGATAATTGAACATGTGATGTAGAACCCCTCATGGAACTGAAAAGAGTTTCAAGGACCCTGAGAGTGAAGGAACGTTAGAGATCATCTAGTCCCATGCCTCCTTTTTATCCAGTCCTTTTATTTTACAGGTAAAACAGCCTGAGGCCCAGAAACACTAAATGACTTTCTCAAGGTCTCACAGCTGTTGATGGCCTCTCGACTCCCAGTCATTACACCGCATAGCTTTCTTACACCTAAGCCAAAGCCAGCTTTCCTCGGCATGTTTCTTAAAGATCCCAAGAGTTGATGGATGTGCTAATCCCTTCAGGATTCCATCTCACTGTCCCATAGTCTCCACAATTAGAATGTCCATCGTAAGTCCCCGGAAGTCCAGTGCAACTTCAAACTCATGGAATTCTTTCTGGAATATTGCCCAGCACTGTGAGGTCATAATGAAGACAGGAGTAGAATGGCCCTATAGGTCTTTTCACTAGACCCTTGACAGAATTTTAACACAAACTACTAAACAGCATGATAAAAAGAAGTACTGTTTATCATTTAGGAAAGGGGAAAAAGAATTCCCAGATTGGTGCCCAAAATTTGTAGTAATGAAATTAAATAATTTTGATTAGAGTAGCCTGTCTCTTGATTGCCACTGAAGTAAAACCCCAGTCTGGTGGCTTCTCTGAATACAAGACTATTACTAACCTCTCCCTCCTGCGTGCACCCCCAGGAGATCCCACCTTACTTGTACAGGCGCTTCTTCCTGGGATTTGAGGCTCACTGGCCAGACTTTCTTTATCGTGTTTATTTGAGCTGTTAAAGATTTAACAATACTTTTATTAACTTTAGGTCTTTTTTTTCTTCCAAATTCATGTATATTGAGGAGCGTTGAGGAGAGTGTAAATGTATGAATCAGAATCTAACAGGTCAGAGTTATAGTCTGGCAGCCAAATGACATTTGTTTCGATCCATTTCATTTAAGCAAACTTCTGTGTCTAGACTTAACAAAAATGGATAGAGATTTTATAGTGGGAAAACATTTTCCCTCAACCCTGTCAGTGAGCATTTTGGAGCAGCTCCCAGGAATCAGCACTGTGTTAGGTTGTGGTGAACAAACACCCGCCCTCAGAGCCCCGCCCACTGTGACAGGCAGAGGCCAGCCACCTGCAGCCAGGTGTGGAGAGTGCGGCTGATGGCAAAAACCTTCCAGGACTTGGGGACAATTTGTGGTGGGGAAAAAGAGCATAGAGAAAGTAAAATCGTAACAGTGCTTTCTAAAATGTGATAAGGAGGCCTCTGAATTTGAAATAGAGTAGTGCAGAGCTCAGTTGGGCCTACCAGTCTTAGTCATCAATTGGCTTTTCTTCACATACATTTTAAACATTAATAAAGAAAAGTGTAAGGGAGAAAATGTAAATTAATTTTACCACCCAGAGACAATCATTACTGGGTATTTTTCCCCCCAGACTTTTCTCTATATTTGATTTAGCCAATGGAGATCAAATATATAAAATTTTGTTTGCTGAGTTGGATTTTTTTTAACCTAATAAGCACTTTTAATTTTAATTGAAAAATTACCATTTTTCATACACGTATGTATTTGAATAGCTGCATGATAATCTGTTTTACAGGTAAATCATATTTTATTTGGCTCTTTTCTGTTACTGGACAACATATGGACATTCTCTAATAGTGATACACATTCAAGGGCTTCCTTGCAAAAATAATCATTACAAATTTCTAATGGCTAACATTGTTTATTTAGCACAACTAAAGTCTTGGCTAAAACTTTGTGATTTAAACATGAAACACAGATACCTCACCCACAACATTCTTCACGTATACAAACTACCTCTAGCCATGTCATAGGAAAGTGTGCAACTGCCTTCAGAGAAGTGCCCCCTTCATTTTCTTTCTCTGTTGTAGGTAATATATTTGACACCAGGAGAGAAAACAAGGAAGACACAGAGCCAGATTTCACTGCCTAGACTTTCATTTAGTGACAATGCTCATTAGCATATGCACCTCTTCCCTTTGAATTTCCTCAAAGACCCACATTAGCATTTCAGTGTACTGCAGAGTGTGCGTGTTCTGTGAAGTTTACCTGTCCTGTTTGAATAGTTTTGATGTACTATCTTTGTCAACTGTGATAAGCAAGCCTCCAATTTGGTATAAGATTTTTAAAAATCATTCCTAGAGTTGATTTATCACCCTTGAAGTCCAACATCTGATCCAGTTAGTTCATTGTCCATTAAAAATAAGCAGCTCTCTCTTCCCTGTTTTTGTCCATAACCTCAATGTGAATGTTTGGAGTTTTGAAGCATAGTTATTTTAACACAAATTGCTTAGATGCTATATAAAGGAGAATGGCACTTTCCAGCACTGAAAAGGGAGCAATTGTTAAAATTAATTAGACCTTCATCAGCTTAAAAGATGAAAAAGATGTTTTGGGAGACAGGATAGCCCTGCTCTGTTAGATGAAATCATTTGTGACATCAGTTCCCCCAAAATAACCATTTGTGCAAGGGGCTTGGCCCTCGCAGCCCCGGCTGCCTCAGCCCTCACAGTCCGGCTTCATCCGGAAGGTCATCCGGAATGTCATCCGGATGGTTGTTCTGCTGTTCGGTCTAATTAGCATATTAGCTGTTTATTATATAGGATAAGGGTAAGTGATATATGAATTTCTTTGAAAGAAAAACCTTTTAGGAGGTGGTATCGACACAGTGACAAAGTAACTCATTGAAAGGTGAGAAACTCAGTAAGCAGTTACCTACTTGATACCTGCCAGCTGTTTTGACAGATGGTTTTAGCCGAGTGAGTGGATCAGTGTTTTGGCAACCGGCCACACACGTATTCCATTAATGTTACGTATTTTATTTGGTTCCTAGTACACTTACACTCCACTTTATATAAATCCAACAAATGAAAATCTGGATTCATTTTAGAGATATCATGCCACGTGTATATTTGTTTTACAGAAATATTTTCATCTGGATTCCTTTCATAAGATGGTGAATTTAAAATACCATTTTATTTAGAAACACTGCATTTACACCTCATTTATTTTATAAAGCAAATTACCTTGAAACTTTGGCACTTGACCCAAAGGCCAAAACTTGGCTTGAAAGAAATGTGGACTAGAAACACCAAACCCCAGGATGGGAGAGAGGGGGAATTACTATGCTACTGTTTAATGCATTTCCCTAGCACTTATTTTATTGAGTCAGAGAGTGTTAGAGCTCAGAGTTATTGTAGATGTCCCTTATTAGTAGGACTAAGGGAGGCAGCTGGGAAGTGAGAGTCATGGTTGCCCAGGGCCAGGTAACCCATCAGTGGCCTGGCCAGGACTGGCATCTAAATGCCTTACTCCCCTGTCCAAGGTACTTGTGCCACATCACACTGAACAGCTAAGCCTGAGTGAGGAGGGAGCTCTGGGATGAATCTGTTTTCCACTGAAGACCAGCTCATTAACCAACAGTGGCAGGAAGCTGGTGCTAGGTGTGGCTTGTGGCATCCATCCAACTGCTAGACAGCTCACCTCATACATGTGTGTCTTTTGTTCATTGTCTTTTTGGAGGTTCAGAGTGGTTGTTTCCATCACACCCTTAGTTAGCCTTTTACATGCGAGGCGAGCTGGTAATCACTCCCTTGAAACCAGCCTCTCTGATCACCAAGTCTGGTGAGATACTGTGAACAGGGCTTTTGTTTTTCTGCAACATATGTTTTCAAACTGGTCTGCTGCCTCTCAGAAGAAAGTATTTCTCAAGGGAATTGAAAAGATTAATTAGTGCCCTTTCAGCTCTATTACAACACGATGACTATGTTGCTAATAGAGGTAGAAACGTTCACCTTCCCACTGTGGCATCTGTTAAGTATACACCACGCGCGTTCGGAGCACGTCCTTCCAAGACCGGGCGACAGCATGGAGTGTTCACCCCTGGAGGAGGGTGGGGACTGTTCAACTCACGAGTATGTGCAATGGATCCCCAAATTGGAAATACATATCATATAACTGCAAGAGTGAAATCATGTTTTGTAAATTAAAATTGTATTTGTGTTTACTTACTGTGACTACTGTTCAGACTTTATTCAGAAATCCTTTCTATAGGCTTTCTTAGCAAAAGCAAATTATTCCATATCTATGAATAATGTCTCAATCTTCTGTATATATGTTTTATTAATATGTAAATATTTAGATTTTTTTAAATTACTATGTTCTTTAAAAAAGTTCAACACAAGGCTAGTGGTGAGAATGGTGTATGACACTGTGTTGTGATATCAATCCCCAAGACGCTCTTTATGCCCATTCTGGAAGAATACAATAAATTACTTTAATTGAAAGTGCCTGTTTCATGCCTGTGTGCCATTCCTCCCATGATTATGAAGAGGAGTCAATGCTAGTCATTAATTAAAAGGTATTTATTAATATTCTGGTGATCTTGCCCAAGAAGTTTTATCTCCTTCTGAAGGAGATAAATTTTTAAGAATAAACTAAATTGCTACCAGAAAGATTATATTCCAACGTGGCGAGCCACGGGCTCTGCCTGGCAGCCAGATCAATGGCTGCAGCAAGTCCCCCAGTAACACTTAAGCATTAAGCACTGATATGCTTGAAGCCTCATTTTACATGAATTAGGTAGCTTTATAATCTTCACTTTAAAGGTAAGCCCTGCTTCTATGGAAACAACACATCAGAAGGACAAATCAATCTTCTCTCGTACAAAGTAGCTGTTAAAACATAAATGTTTTATGCCCAGCCAGCGCGGCTCAGTGGTTGAGCATCGTTGGAGCTGACACACAGGTCTCTACACGGGGGTGTTACTTGGTTAAGACCGGGAACACCGGGCGGAGCGATTTGGAGGATGACACGCGAGTTCATGTTCAGATGTTATTCCGTTCATTTAGTCAGCAAGTGTTTGGACACTCGGGTATGCATGGCACTGGCTAGGGGCTGGTACAGCAGGCACAGAGCTCATTCTGACGATCACTCATGAATGACTATGATCCCGGGAAACCGTCGTATAAGGTACGTTGTGTTCCTGAACTAGAGAAGGGAACTTAAATGTGGAAGCTTTGTCCCAAACTAGAGGCAATCAAGATTTGAAGTACTATTCATTCTGTATAATTCAAGTCTCAACTAAATTTCATCATCTCCAAGGGATTCGTGACTATCTGCTCACAAGTAACCACCAGTCTCGACCATCTAGTCACAGTGACCCTTGCTGCTCTCTGAAATTGTCTTGCTATTTATGTGGTTTTTATCATCCATTTTTCCTCTGGAATCTAAGCCTCGGGATGTCAGGGCTCTTATCTGTAAGGCCATTAAGATTTCAGGCCCCTGTGAAAGCACATTTCAGGACGCTCCCTCTCCCTCTGCCCCAGCAAGAGTGGACTGGGACAGATGGGGAGCATTAGTGACTACACGACTCCCTTTCCTTCCTGTAGTCTTGGATCACGTGCACTTCCATTGTCCCTACATCACCACTCTTCATAAATGGTGGCAAAATTGTGTCAGTGGACCCACCAAAGAGATGCTGGGTGGCTCCAAGAGAATTGATAACTAATGATTTAAAGCAATACTTTGAATTGACACCAATCAATGCCTCTGCATTTTGTAATCGCAGAAGCATGAAACTGATCATGCCCCCTAAAATATATATACTGTATATTATATACATATGTATATTTGTTTATTTATGCCCATTTTGTTATCAGTGAAATTAAAAGAATGTAAAAGAGTCAATGAAAAGGCCAAAGAGTGATCTAGGGCTGGAGCCCGGTAGGAAAACCCAGTGTGATGTGCTTTGCTCCTACTGACACCCCAGACACACTGGATACTCCAGGGCCGTTTAAATTGGGGCAAGGGCTGCCTTTTTTTTTTTAATCTCACACCGGATACTCCAGGGCCATTTAAATTGGGGCAGGGGCTGCCTTTTTTTTTTAAATCTGTTAATGCTGAGAAATTGGAGGATATTTTTAACCTAAATTTTGAAGCAAAGTGACTTGAGATGACTCCTTTAAAATACTTTTCAAAAATCAAACGGATGCGAGTGTGTTAAATGGGGGAGCTGGTCAGAAACCAGCCCTCTCGACTTCCAGGTGTGCCTTCTCTCCACCACAATGCTCTCACAGATTGAAAACCTGAAGGGCCCTCAATGTGAATATGGAGAGAAAAATCAATTTTACAAAGGAAATAGGGTGTCCTAAATTGGTTCAATGAAGTGGGGGACCAATTGCACATTCTGGTAGAAAAGCTACTTTCTGCTGTACTTTAGCAATGGAGGGAGAAAGGGAATACATTATAATAAATGACACTGTATAACACTGAGTTTAGCATCCTCCAAAAGTGATGTATTTCTAACCAATGGATAGGGAAAGTCAGAAGTGACTCGATTAACAACCCCATGCTAACCCCACCCCCATCTTGTGATGAACACAGTACATTGCACGGTCCTTAGGAGAAATGTTTCACTGGGGTGAAGCAATGCCACCTTCCTCCACGCCCACCTGTCACTGACGCTCCCTGTAACAAGGACCTACGGCTGTGGGTAGCTGTTAAAATTGTGTTCGTTGCCCTAGCGGGTGTCACTCAATGGTTAGAGCGTCCGCCAGCACACCAAAGGGTCCTGGATTTGATTCCTGGTCAAGGGCTCATCATACCTGAGTTGCAGGTTCACTCCCTGGCCCAGTCGGCGTGTGGGGGAGGTAACCAATCAATGTGTCTCTCTTACATCAATTGTCTCTCTCCCACCCCCCTCACTCTCTCTAAAAATCAATGGAAAAAATATCCTCGGGTGAAGATTAACACAAAAAACGAAGATTGTGTTTGTTTCTATGGTTTACGTCATGTACTGTTCAAGTGTGTTTGTCCCATCCACCTCCTGTTGGTGTTCCCGGGAGCTCTTTCCCTCACTTTGTCCCGGTGGGACTGGCTCACCAGCTACGGCAGAGCAGGCGTATTTTAAACGTGAGACTGACTCCTGGACACTGGCTGTGGACCATCC